GTGCAGCAGCGGGAGTACGAGCAAGCTCTCGTGTGCGTACGTGCTCCGATTAGAAAACGCCGCCGCTGCCGCGACTTGTTTAATGCACGCTCGATTCGTGCGCTCTGCACCGACAAAAGTTTGAAATTACGCGCACGCGACTCGTTTGTGAGCACTAGCGCGCGCGCGATTTTCGCTGCAGGGTGACAATTTTACCCTCTCGCAGCCAGCCACACGTATTATTGTATTATTGCTCGAGACTCTTTCGAGCTGTCTGTCTCTTTCTCTGAATAACGTGCTTTTAACATTGAATCGCTGTAAACGCGAGAGAGAGAGCTCGCGAGAGCTACAGGTGCCGATATTTTACTCTGCGTGAAAGAAATGTGTAAATACGTCGATTTTCGCGCGTCAAAAGTACTATTCATGTAATATAATAAAGGCGTCCTCGTGCTTAGGTGTGTACACTGCGTATATATGTGTCCATAAAATCATCACGCCCCGAGCTGCGAAAGCGAGAGTTACGATCGCGGCGCAGGCGCTTTATATCTACATTATGGCGTATATTACGGCTCCGGGTCGCAAGCATAATATGAGATGCGCGCCTGGATACCTAGAGATTCTCGTCCTGTATGCTCAGCTTCAACGCGTCAATATTTCGCGAGACGCGGCTAGACGCGGTGCGCTGCGCATCAGGCTGCAAAACGAACTTGTCCGAATATAAACAAACTCGGTGATGTGCTATTAAAGCAGCTGTCCGTTAACGTGCCCTGACGTTCAAAGTATACACGTTGAAAAACGTCTTGATCAGAATCGCGTTTATACACATGCGCGCGATTCGTAATTTCTCTCGTCGCACTCGTGCAGCTGCGAGGATCCGTCTTAATTTTCGCGTTTTAACGGACGCTTTTACAGCCTGTGTATAACGAATATAATATACGCGGTTGCAGGGGGGCATATCTTTTCAGGTCACTCGATTATAGCACTCGGGACACGAGTTTTCTAATTCCGCATTTACATGTGTATAAGTTGTGTATTATCTCACGGCTCGCGAGCCGAACAATGACACAGTAAATTCGTCGAGCATTATAATCGAGGAAAAGCTCAAGGCTACCGAGCGTCGTATGCGGACATCGCGGGCGTCTAACTCGATATTGGCATCGTCATTCAATCGATTAGCCGGGCGTATACCTAAGTTAGCTACCACTATATACTATAAAGAGCTTCGACCATGCTGCACGACGCGCTTCGTGCACGGTACACGGCGCACAGCACGGCACAGCACGGCACAGCACACACACACACACACACACTCGCATCGTGTGGGCAATCTACGCTCGATCGTTTTTCAGTTATTTATTACCGTTGTCACTTCCGTAATACTTCTTATATACTTATGGGCTACTCTTTCTTATGCTCTACGTGTATATAATATAGGTACCTTTCGTCTCCTGGCACGTCCTTCTTTTCATTTTTTCCCCTCTCTCTCTGCCATTCTTTCTTTTCAAGAGCTGCACGAATTGCGCGATGATATTTCGTTATTTACGATTTTTCTCTTCCTCGCATCTTTCGCAATATATCCGTCACACGTCACGCAATTATCCCGCTGCGACGACGGTGGCGACGACGAGGGGTTTATTTCGCGCGCGCGCGTGCGAGCTCGAACGGCGAAAGTATATCATAGCTAGCCGTTCCGTGCGCGAGAAAAGGAGGAAAAAAACAACTCCTGATGTATATATATTGAGTTTCAAATCTACTTACGATGTACGAGCCTTCGACTGTCCGAAACTGTAATTGTTTATTTTTGTTCTCGCTACCGCGCTTGGAAGAGGAAGGAAAAAAATCGTCTGCCTGGAGCACATTTTAAGTGAAATTCAAATTTCATTATTGCACTCGCGCGTGCGTGCCTCGCGTTGCCACATAGCTCGGGAAAAATAAGATATAAGATATAAGGTTACCCGTAGCAGACGCGTCGGATGTAAGAGAGCTTATTCTTTGCTTTAATATATGCATTGGCTTTTATCCCGCAAGCTCTCGCTCTTGCCTCACTCTCGCTTCTCTCGGCTATACTCTCCGGCCGTGTGACCCGTTTTCTCAAAGTGCTTCAGTTTTATATATCAAGGAGTGGGTTATGCGATACGTTAGATTCATCGAGCTTTTTCCATGTACAATGTAAAATTGTTCACGCCCGGCAATGTCAAAACAGACGCGTTATATATTTGTGCATCGTCCTATTGAGAGTACAAGTAGAAAAGGAGGTGACCAGGTTCTTATGCGTTTATTCTATATTTACACTTTGTGTCAAAGAGAAAGAGAGAAAGATACGGGAGGGAAATATGTCTAGCATGTGGACGAAACCCGTATAAAAAAGTTTCGCTCGTGCACACGCGCATGCACACGTGCACGCAGCAAGACACGAGCAGCAGCAGCAGCAGCCACAGAGAAACATTCGTAATGGAATGCTCCTTGCGGATTTGTTTTCATTTTGTCACGCACTAGGTTTTATCGAGACGCGTGTGCGACTTTCGTGTTAGGAAGAGAGAAAAAAAAAATTCGTCCCCCATCGGCGGTGTACGCTCGGAATTTTCATATATTACGGGGATAATTAACGTGTGCAAATGTGCGTTTAGTACCCAGCACGTATATATTATAGTCGCAGCAGCAGCAGCAACGGCATCGGCGATGGTCGTCGTTGCGCTCCATAATATGCGTCGCGCGCTGCGCGTCTGCAATAGACTACACTCGGGCGCGCAGTGTCCCGCAAAACTTTCTCTTAATTTCAATTAACCTCTGGCGCTGCTATATACGAGCGACGCGAAACAATCCAAAACTTATTATATTTATGTATGTATACATAAATGTAGACATGCATTATAAACACACACACACATACAGACCCACATATAGGTACGCACATGACCGAGGCGATTTTTGTTCCTTTTCGTTTTTGTCGGGCTTCCTCGCTCTTTCTCTCTTACCGCAACGTCAAAGTATTATAATATAACGGTGTCTATACACGCATTACGACGATTATGAGGAGAAAAAAAAATGGCTGGAAAAAAAAATTATCGCGCGTCGCGTGAAAGTTTTCCATTATAATGTGTGCCTGCCCGCACACGAAATACATACAAACCCATACCCGCTCGGGAATATTACGGCGCTGTAGTGCTTGCGCGCGACGACGACGCGTAGAAGAAAAGGTTTAAATTTCCACGGGCTAGCGCCGGAATGGCGGTTAATGAGTATAAAAGCTCACCTATGAGCCAACTATTTTACACAGACACTTACGCACACAGGGACATGATGTAAAATGAGAAAACCATACGAGCAGCGATCGACACGCGCAGTATACATTAGCTATTGGCGATCAACGGTGGCGATGCAGGCGGCTACAAGTTCGCGATTCGTGTTTTATACGCAACTTTTTCTACTTCTACTTCTTTTTTTCATGCAACGGTAGGTGCAGTGTCTACAGTGGGGAGGAATTGGGTTTATTGCCTTAATTTAATATACGAATGAAAAGTGTGCGTCGTGATTTATCGGCTGCGTTGATCCTCTCTCTCGCTCACTCGAATTGATCCTCCGTATACGTATACGGATGAACTTACGCATGCATGCTCACGCCAGTCAGTTAATATACTAACAATATTTGGGGCTACTTGCGGTTCACAGTTGTGTACGTATAACAGCATGCAAGAGGCGGCGATGAAAAAAAAAGACGACCCTCGTCGGACCGCTGCACCGTGTTCAAGGTTTTATGTACTCGTGTAAGCACTTTCCGTTTCTGTTTTTCTAGCCTACGTTGTATGTGTGTGTATGTATCGTCGGCGCGATGTAGTAAGGCTCGCGCCAACGGTGTAACGTAACACGAGAGTATATGTGTGTGTGTAGGCGCGCAAAAAATGAGAATACAAGTATACGTACACCAGCTGAGGCAGCGCAGCACTACACGTCTGCTCTATGTGCATTACTTTTCGCCCGTGAGCAGCACAGATTTTATAGCGGGAAGAACAGGTACTCTTGCACATACGCACTCGTATAGCAGCTTATAGATGAATAGAATTAATGGCTGAGATGTTGTATATGAAGCGTACCTAGAGTACACTCATACACACACACACACATACACAGACTATATAAAACTCATGTACGAGAGGAGAGAACCACGAGAGACAAAGATAACAGCAGGTGCAGGCAGCATCGCCTTTTTGCCTTGTAGTTGCGTCATATTTTGAGTTCGTTATACCCGATCGTTGTGCCTTTTTTTTGCAGCCAAAGACTTAACTGTATATGTGCGCACGACTATACTCTCGTTGTTACCCTTTTCTCTCTCTCTCTCTCTCTCTCTCTCTCTCTCTCTCCCTCTCGTGCTCTGCTTTTTTCCGACTGCTATTCGCCTACTTTTATTTTTTATCGTTGAGCCGATTTTGTGTGAGAATCCGTATACATAAAGAGAGATACGTAACGAATCGTAAAAAAGATTTTTTTGAGAGTCTACGAAATGATTATAAATATTTTTTTTTCCTTTTTTGTTGCTGCTGCTGCTGCTGCTGCTGCTGCTGATACTACTGCAAGCGTACATCGAAAACTCACGATAATAATGCAATAGCTTTTTTTGTTCGTGGAGCTTTTACTCGACGCTCTTGATTAGATAATTGCCGTAATGCGTACGTACCGTATCTTTAACACCTCTGACTCCGCGCGAAAAAACAGACGCGCATAATGAATTACAAGATAAGGAGGCCTCTTTTTTCGTAGAATCAATTTAAACCCGCGGGTTCTTGCCTGTTTAATGCAAATTGAATGCTAAGCCAAAGCAGAGAGTACCGATAATTTTTCCGAGTGATAAATCTATTTAAAAAAAAAAAAAAAAACGAGTACTTAGGATTTGGATGTATTTTATATATGTAATTGGTTACTTGCAGGAGAGATAGAAGTGGTGTCAGTATTAATTTAGAATGAAAATAATATTTTAAATATTTGTTCAGTAACTGTTACAGAAATAAGAAATACAATTCTTTCGATTATCATTAATAATAATTATCCGTAAAGTTTATTTGAATCGGGATAAAATGAATACATTTACTAATACAGGTTAAAATTTTGAAGAAAACAATTACATACAACAGTCTAATCCTTATCTTTCTCGCGTGGCATATCCTCAATGGCACCTGTTAAAGAATAAAAAATAACTTTTTTTAAATTAAAGTCATTTTTATAAAATATTTGATCATCAAATATAAGATGTGAATCGACATATTGCTATCAAAGTAGTATGTCAAATGAATAAACAGACTCAACTTTTCATACCTCGAAATTATAATAAACGACAAAACTTTAACACTTGTTTTATAAAAAGATAAATATTACTCACTGCTTATATGGTGGGAAATTGTAGTACACAGCTTATTCAACAAATCATTTCCAATATCTCCTTCATATGGCATCATAAAGGCGTCACTTTCTTCAAAAATTTTACTAACTGTTGAATGCCATTCAGGACTCTGATTATACGAATAATGCACAGGATAGGGTACTGATGTGCCGGGTTTTAATACACGAGTTTCCGAATACGTGAATTGAAATTTGGCTTTATAGGATATTTTGTAAACGTTATCGCACGTCGCAAATTTGACATCTGACTTTATAATATTGCTGTCGGCCCGCAATAATGAAACCGTTTTACTACGTGCAACGATGAACTGGTGAAATATAATCGTGTGAGGATATCCCGAAGACAATGGCATCGTTCGAAGTTGCTCACTTATCTGCCATCCAAGAAACTCGCTCAAATCGTCCCATCCTGTGTTTGTTGTTTTATGCAAGTGCATCGCAATAAGCAGACCGATTCTTGGACAAATGAGCTTCTTGTCGTTGGTCCATTTTGGCCCTTCGCAATCGTCAAATGTCACGGTCAAATCTAAATCGTATTCACCATACAAGTCTTTAAATTGCTCATTGGCTAATTCCATCGTGATTCACTTGATTACTTATATTTTAAACGATATTATAGATAGTAATTTTTGAGCAAAGCGTTATACGGTAAACTTTTAAGTTGCTCTAATTATTCTCGAGGCTAGAATAAAACTGACCAATCTGTCAATTTTTCTCACTTCCTTATTATATTGAAGGAACCACGATCGAAACAAAACAAATTCATTGATTCATTCATCGACAAATTTAATTCAGGTAGATTTGTGTGTGATATATTTAACGTAAGCAAGTAGTAACTCTACAATAAATACTGATGAGTTTGTAATCATACAGCAATGTTTACTATTACGTCCTTGCCAATAATAATTTGAGAAGTTTCCGTTAGCAAATTTGTCGAAAGTATTCCGCAAAGTAAATTTTGCCGAAAATTCGAGCGCTCGTATACCCTGGCCCCTTGGGCATGAAATAATCGCTCTGTTCGTGATTCTACGCAGGCACTCAAATAATAAAAATAATCGAACCAATTGTATTATCGTTTTATTCCGCGGTACATCGCGTCGCGCGCAAGAGCTACATAGATGCAATCCTCGGCATGTATGCATCGCAGCGAACAAAATTGCACCATGCAATGGTTTCGCAAAAAGAGAAAGAAAGAACAGCCGGTACGAAATTGGGCTCGGAGATAATGAATCTCTTTTAAATAGAAGTCCATAAGGCTCGCGGCGAACATCGACGTTTATAATTCGCATGCTTATATATAGGATAGGTATATATAGTAGCCGCGCAGATACTTGAGAAACGATATAGGCTAAGCAGCAGCAGCAACCGCGTGGAAATCGAGCATCGTATAAGCATAGGCGGTGCTTATACCCGCCAAGTTTTTGCAACAAAGCTCGCTCGCGCGCTCGAGACTGTGTATAAGGAGAACTACAGCTATATAACACGCGCCGATCGGCCATTTACATGCGTGCATACATTATATATATATCGTGTATATACTCTAGTTTGCCATGGATCGCGCGTTCGGTGAATGAGCCCGAGAGAAACAGAGAAAGAGAGAGAACGATTCAAGCAATTTTACATGCAGGTGTTGACTCGCGCTTATGTGTATAATTGATAAAAAATGTTGCTTATAATCACAGCTATACACATGCCATACTTCCTGAACGTGTGTGTGTGTATACGTAATGATTTCTTTCTCTCTCTCTCTCTCTCTCTCTCTTTTTCTCTTTTTCGGGGAGGTAATTACCGATGTAATGCGGAACATTAGCTAGGACGAGGACGACGTATAGCTCGAACCAAGCCACGACGAAGCTCCTTATAAAATACCACAAGCGCTGCACTCACACTCGCGTGACAGCATTCCCCGACACGCAGAGATCAGCTGCAGAGGCTAATATCGAGACGACGACGGCTGCACAGCTGCTGCTGCTGGGGTACATCGATACGAGGTGCGAGCTGATAATTTCGCGCTCTCGTGTCTGTAATAGACGCTGCCGTGCGCAGTGCACCACCATATAGCTCGAATTTCTTCGAATAGGCATGATTTTACTCGCGCTATCGACGCTGGCAAAATTGTTTTTGGAAAACTAAAATGCACACCGTACAAATACGACATATCGCACATTATATAATATTGGAATCATCGCTGTGTGGCTCGTATTACGAGCGGCCTGCCCGCGAGCATAATTGCAATTGATACACGTCGTATACTTGTACAAATTCAACTTCGAAACTACACAGACACACACATGCTCTCCGTCCCGCGCAAATGTTTATGAACTCTTGGTGTGCGCAGCGTGTATGCAATCAAAGTTGATTGAAGCAGCCGCAAAAGTTGAGCTATCCTGCGAGTTGCCTGCCGCCGCCACCATTGCAAATGTAATATTATCGCGATCTGCTCTGCTGGCGCAAATATTTGTATTTACCCAGGCCGCGCGGTGACACATGTATATGCGAACGCTGCACGACTCGAGCTTGCGGTGACGCTGATTCTATACGTGTATATACCTCTATATGTAATGCATAGAACACGATACGAGTGTACGTGGCTTACATTGTAACAGCGTATACGGAGTTGCTTTTTGGATTTGTCGAGCGCGTGTCGCGTTGCGGGGTTAATTTATCGCGCCGGCTGCATAAATCGCGTATACACCTCTCTTGCCGGGCCGCCGAGCTCGACGTATATAAATTCATAATAATTAAACATCGCTGTTACTGTTGCGTTGCTTATATATATATATATATATATANATCCTATATATATATATATATATATATATATATATATACGTAGTTTACTGTGTGCAACGGCAACGGCAGCGATCCCGCAGAACTCACGCGCGTAAACTGATCATACACGCCGTAATTTCATTTGTTTTAATTAAAACGCGTAATGTATAGGCGCCGCGCGTTGCTGCTGCTGCTGCAGCGAGTATCATATATATACGTACAGATTCCTTGCTGCGAGTGAGAGAGAGAGAGCCAAGGATATGTTTAATGTATGTATGCGCGCTGCATCGGATACGCGTTACACGAACTCGGCTTTGCGTGAATAATACACGCTACACAATTTATTTAGAAATAGTTAGCCCGCGCGCGAATCGCGATCCATGTGTGCGCATGTGTGCATACGTATGTACATGTGTGTATAGGCCGTATTTCCGCGTGCGCACTAATAACCTACATATCATACCCGTGTAGTAGACGAGCCCGGCGCATATGCGCTATAATACGTATCACTGCACAATCGAAGCGACGAGACCGCAGCGAGCTTTTGCCTCTCGACGCGAATGTGATCTTGAAAAATAGTGTGCGCGCGACCGTGAACTCGACAAACAGTCTGCGAGCATATCCGCAGCGAAATTGCGCAATAATCCTCGAAAGATCGTCTCGTCACGTGTCTTGATCGAGATGTTGTCTCTTCTTTTTCACCCACGCACGGCTATACGATCTCGACTGCGCGCGAGCTTTGAGCTTGTTCCCCAATTTTTTATACATACAAACGAGCGAAGCTTCGTCGTTTACGTTGTTTTGTTTTTTCTTCTACTTTGCAACGACCATAATACTTGCCAGATAGGATATAGAGGTGTATCGCAGGGTGCAGTGCGCGTCAAAGTAAATAGACTTTATTGTGGCTGCCCATGTGATACGTCGAGGCTTGTACTACAACTTGATTTAATTTATTTATATGCTTCAGGCCTGTAGCTGTACGTACACTGCGAGACGAGCGACGACGGGTTAAATGATGAAAATTAATTCGTAATTCGCGGCGTTGTACGCGCTTCGCCGCAACTATTTTACGGGCAACAAAAAATAGGGTGATCCTTGTACGTGTACATCGCGCATTTGATTAAGCGCGCCTTAAAAAGACTGCATTCACGCCTGGCAGCATTGAAAGATTTTCTTTGCATGCTTACGAGCGAGGGGGAATCACAGCGTACCATACAGGATGGCCGCGCGAGAAGCTCCACAAGTCAAAATTCTGCGGCTGCATCGGCGCAGCAGCTCTCTTACTTTCTTTCGAATCTACACTCACACACACACACACACACACACACACACACACACACACACACACATACACACTCTGCTGCGCTACTGTGCCCTTGTTACAAACTGGAAGTGAGAAGCGTTATATATAATATATAACAGAGAACACACAACTGGGCCAGCGAATGTGCACGGGGGCCGGCAGCAAAAACTGGCATATATATCTCGTATTTTATTCCTCGAGGCCTGAAAAGATTGCTCGCGCTCTCAGCAACGAGCATGAAATCGTTGGTCTTCTCGTTGGAATTCTCTTGGTCGATCGAAATAATTAAGTACATCGTTTCTAAATTAAATGTCCGCGCGACGACCAAGCGTGCGATCTATGGTCGAAAACATTTTGTTCCATTACTACGTCGAGTAGTTTTCAATTTCGATTATTTATTTATTTTTCTTCGTGGATTTTTACAGCCGCTGAAACACGACAAATCACCATTTCTCTGCTCTTATTATGAGCAAAAAAATATAATAAGCCATACAGAGTTTATTAATTATCCCATCGTTAAAGATTTTATGCATAGGTATCAACGGGCAATAAAGCGCGACGGTCGTCCGCATTGCGCGTCGTGCGGGCAGCAGCACACAAAATTACGCTCGTAATGCTCGGGACAGTTAATGATACAAAACTTGCAGCTCTTTACGTACATAATAGCCGATATATAGGACGATGTATAAATCTTTTGCGCGATCAGCCCCCCTCGAGAGATCGTGAGTACACCGACGACAACCACAAAAAAAGCGCAAAGGCAGCTCGTCGCGTCGTTTCTCTCTCGCGCCGTTCTCGAGCAGCTATATAATGGCAATTTTTTGTCTCGAATACAGCCGTCGTCGTCGTTACGCTCGATCCGTCAAACGCTGCTCGCGAGAGAGTCGACGATCGTCGTAGCGCGACCATATCGCATACCTGCGTGCTATATATGATGTGGAAAGAGAGAGAGAGAGAGAGAGAAGCTCGTCTACCATGTAGATCTCGCTAGATGCACGCAAGGGCGAACAAGTGGGTTGCTGACAAAAAACGCGATCGCCAAATAATATTATTTCAACGCGGCGACCTATTAACCCCTGCGGACCCACGTAGTATATGATATACGAGCGAATCGAGCGCGCACCAACAAATTCAGACGAAATCGTGCTTTAATTCACAATGTACTTGAAAAATTTGCGGTTGAAGAAAGGTTCACTTTTTCTCTCTAGATACGCTTCTAATGAAGTTATTAAACGATTAAATTTCAATAGGTATTTTATAAAAAAACAGGTTGTTTGTTTTTTAAAAATTGAATTATTCAATATGGCGTTTGAAATGAGTCGTTAGATACTTCTAATCACAAATTTTAAACACTTCAAATTTGTCGAAAAAAATGTATCCATTTAACGAAATATACCAGAGCATTTTTTACTGTTTGAAAAAATAATGTCGTGTTCACTTTAGTTATCTTCTGCTACAACTGCCTTGGATTCATTTTCACTTCCATCCGCTTTGGTGCCCAAGTTGAATGATCAATTTGTCTGATACAGCGCTATAATCTCTTATGTATTTGCCACGGAAATTGAAATGAGTAAAATTTATCTTTTGATATTATAGTTCGCTTTATATTCTTATTATTAACAATCAAGACACATAATGTATCCGTTGATATTTTATCATTTTATAATTTTTTATTACAATTGAAATATGAAAAAAGAACG